CTGAACTTCACAGAACTCAGGGGCTAACTTCAATCCAGGTAAACAAACGCAAACTTTTGGGTGCTCAGCCCCCACCCTGCACAAGACCCTTTGACTGTCCTGTCCCATGGCTCCTCTCCACGGCTCCAGACAATGCTGTGGTATCAACCCCGGCTGGGACATGCAGCGGCACTTACCTCCAGGACCATCTCTGTCATCTGGAACTGCTTCTGGGACACCTTGTCAGAGCTCACGGGCTCGTGGAAGAGCAGGCAGAGCATGTCGTACTTCTTCAGGGCCTGCTTGTAATTCTTTTCGTTCAGGTCGATCACTCGGTCTTTTCCATCGTAAGTGGGGAAGTTCAGTCCCTCCTCTGCCTTGCAGCAGAAAAGCAGGTAAAAACCTGCCAGGATCCAGCAAGTCGTCTTCATAGTGGAGCCCTTGGTGTGCAGCAGAGGCTGGGTAAATGTCCCCCTCCTTCTTAATTTGGGAAGAGGGGGAGACCAAAGGCTCCAGGTGAAGTTCAAACTGAGTTTCTTTTTCTGCTGCCTTCTTAGTGATCAGCTCAAACTCTGCAAGGCTGGTGGGGAGCAGCAAATTCTGCTGTCCTGAGCTTACAACAAAGAGACAGACAGGAGAAGCTGTCAGGCCAAGCCCTGGATACCTTACATAGCTGTGTCCAGCTCCCGTGTCATTAGGAACTCCATTTTTAGGAAGCAGTTGTTTCAGGCTAAAAATAAACCCTGCAATGAATAAAAAGGACAGATATGACACCATTGAGGGACTTGCTGGCACCCTGCATCATCTGAGAGAGAGGGAGCGAGCAACAGGGAGGGAGTGGAAGATGTCGATGCTAGGAATATGCAGGCAGGGTTTGCGAAGGGACAGGCTTCACTTGTACAGAGAACTAAGGGACGGCCTGTCCTACTACGGCTTAACAAAAATAGAAAGTATTTACTGCATTTTTTAATAAGGGTATCTCTCATTGTAGCCCCTTGGGCATCACAGTGATTAGGCTTCGGATAACAGATCTCAGGTTAAACAGTTTCAGAGCCTCATCTGCACTGCTAGAGGAAAAGTCCCATCTCTTCAGCAGCAAAGGAGGTGAGTGCTCATGGGACTCCCTCCTCCTCCTCCTGCCTGGGGCACCGGCTGGAGCTGCCGGCTGATGTTCAAGCCCTTTTCTGAAGCACCTTCTCTGCTTGTGGAGTACCACGAGACTTGCTGGCCCTTGGACCTGTAAATCCCAAAGCAGAGGGAAGCTTACGTTGCAATCTCCCATGGCCGCAGCCTTTGCCAAGCACCACGCCTTGCTGGAGAGCGGTTAAAACCTTAGCATAAGGGGGATGAAGGGCAGGAGGCACGTGCCCAGGCAGGTGTCTTGGGGCAGGAGGCAGGGTTCTCCTCAAGATGATGGACAGATGCCACCACGGCCACTGGCCTCTCTTCCTCTGCCCTGCCTGTTGGCCCCGAGGGGGTATTCATACAACCCTGTCATATTTCCCGGCAGTCAGTCCTGCATATTCCTTCCTCTTCAGTTCCCGGGAAATGGTGACCAGTTCCCCCTTCCCCAGGAGCTCAGCACCGGCTGCCGCCTTGCCGCGTCCCCTGCACCGCACTGCCGGGGGAGAACAGTTTGGTGGCACAGTCTGTCCCCTCCTCTGAGCGGGGTGTCACAGCTGGCCCATGACAGGCAGAGACAGGCAGATGCAGGGCTGCCCACCAGCCAGCACTGGGGCTGGCACATGTCCGCTTGGAGCAGGCACGCTGAGGGGCTGGAAGAGAAGAGCTTGACAGGGGGGACAGGTCTCCCCCCCGGGCCAAAGTGATGGGCAGACTAGTGGCCTTATCAGGCCTCCTCCTTGCGTGTTGGTCCATGACAGCCTTGCTCCATTCACACCAGGGAGGAGATGATGTCCCTTCTCGGTGCATGCAACTCTCCCCCCAGCCAGATGTTCCCATTTAATTGTATGGCCGGGATTATTTCAATATATGGGGTGAAAGGCGAGCATTACTTAGCAATTACAGAATCATAGAATCGTTTATGTTGGAAAAGCCCTTTAAGATCATCGAGTCCAATCACAAACCTAGCACTACCAAGTCCATCACTAAACCATGTCCCCAGGCACCACATAAACACGTCTTTTAAATACCTCCAGGGATGGTGACTCAGCCACTTCTCTGGGCAGATTATATTCACCTCCTGGGTGAGCGCGCATTCCCTCAGCCTTCACTTCCAAACTGAGCAGCCCATGACATACTGACTGAAACTCTGTGGGCAACAGTTTCCAGGCCTCTCTTATTTTCAAATCCTCCTCTTAGTTTCTGCTCATGGCTTTTCAGAAGTTTGACGTTTGCCTGCAGCTTGAAGTCCTAGTGATGAAACCTGAGGGATGTGGGTAGAAGTCAGAGCAAGACAGCCTCAGAAATACACTCCCTAAAGAGGCACCCTTCAGGGGCGATCATTTCTAGAAGGAGATGTGACGAGCGTGGATATGTGTGATTGCTTTTCGTGAGAGATGCAAGGCTTGTGTCACAGTGGGTGGCAATGGCTGGCTAGGCTTTTGCTGAATGTTTAGGCTGTAAAATGCACAACTGCGCTTGTGGGATGACCAGACATACACCTGGATGGTTGCCTTTGAAGGGCCCAGTGGATCTGGGGTGCAGCAGCAGGCTTCTGCTGGCATCAGAGGGTGTTTTAAAGCAGGCACAGATCAGACAGGGCTGTAAAAGAGAAAGATTCACAGCTACTTCAAAATAGGTTTCCCAGGTTCCTGCCCTCCTTTTTCTCTTGTAGATCTTCAGCAATTGCTCCACTTTCATATGGCTCAAACTATTTTTAAGGTGCTTTCTCTCTAGTCTGAACAACTTTTTAATCTGCCTAAAAATAGACACAATCCAATTCTCGTTTTCTTCCCTTTTTGCTATAAAAAAAAAAAAGAGCAAAAAGGCTTTTTATTGACAAAAAGCGGTGCCTTGTTAGCCCCAGACCCATCTATTTTATCTGCCTATGGCAGGAGTAGCAAAGAATTGTGACTGTTAGGCTTCACCTCTGCTCCAGGAATTCCTCCAGTAGACAGACGCTGAATGTCGCAGTCACCGGAGAGTCCAACTCTTTGTCTCTCTGCTCAAACACTCAGTGGGCTGTTAGTGCTAAACCCAGCGGACATTCTGGGCCAGGCTCACTGTCAAGAAAAGGACAGTGTGCAGACCTCATACATTTGGGGAAAGCAAGTTTTGTTGAAGGCCCGTTTCTACAGGACACTGACGAAAGGTGTCTCTGTGTGCCAGACCCTCCCCTGTAGGGTAGGAGTAATAGCAGTTCCCCAGAGCAGGGGAGGAGGGGGACAAAGAGCTTTTCTGTGATATCTTGGGTTTTGCATTCACAGGTATATTCACAAACACTTTGTGCTGTCTTTCTGCATGGTCCAAGGTCTTCCTGATCCCATTTAGCTGTCTGTGGTTGTAACACATTTTTTTCTGCGGCCAGCACCATGCGAGGGAATGATATGGTCAGCACTGTCTCCTGGGGCATTTGCCCTTCCCCTGGAAAAGCTGGCATCCATTAGTCTCTGACAGAAGTTAATTGCATGGCTCAACCTCCCGACTCTGACTCCTTAACCATCTTTTAGTCCTGCCTCTAGAAATCAGTATGGTGTTCTTCCCTGGCAAACCATCCCACCTTCCACCTGAAAGCTCTCTGAGAAATGAGCTGGTAGAACTCAATGCCCATCCACCTGGGCGGGTGTCCACGTCATCCAAACAACCTTCAGAACTGGCCCCAAAAGTTCAGGAGAAGAAAGAGAGAATTAAAGGAAAAGCTTGCTCTTGATTTATTCACGATTCTAGGCTCTCTGGGGTATCTTCACTGAGCAAAATCCTGGCTCCAAGGAATTAGGTTGCAAAACCACCTCTGACATGCACTGAAGTAGGATTTTACTTTGTTTCTTTGAATTTTGTGTGGATAGGTGGCCAGTGACAGAAATACAACAGAAGTGCTCAAAACAGCACAATCTCAGCCCTTCACTTCAGGCCTGCAGGAAT